TATTTATAAAAATAACTTATTATTTAGTTATATTATAATTTTATAATATCTTTGTGTTTGTCAGTATTTTTATGACATTCTTCTTAATTTATCGTATCAAATTATTTTCCAAACTTATTCAAAATAGTTTATCAAAATAATCAAAAATATGTTTTTTAAAATTCTAATTGTTTTTTAAATTTTAAATAAATATAATACAATTTCATAAAATATATTTTTTTAGAACTAAATATTTTTATCATGTAAAAGCTTTAAAAAGGGCACTAAATTGGATGATTCACTACATTTAATTTAATTTAATTTAATTTTTATATTTAAAATATTTTTTATTTTAATAGACACATAATCTAACTGTAATGAATTTATGATAAAAAATTAAATGTACTATTAAAATTTTTAAAATTAAAATAAAAACATAAAATTTCTTCGATAAAAAATGTGAATTCAGACATCCACATCTAATTTAAATAGTTTATAGATCTCATTATAATAACGAGAGATGAATTATGCTAATAATTAATTAAATTAATAACAACAACAACAACAACAACAACATGTCATATTCATCTGTGACTACTATTGGTCTATGACTGCAAGAACATTCATATAATGTAGATAAACAATGATACTTATAAAGATTTTAGTGAAATTTATCTATTTGTGTGTGTGTGTTATAAAACCTGTAGAAAACATTTCAACTCACGAGTCATGAACATTGTAATGTAACTAATATTAGATATAGAGATATCTATGCGTAAAACATGGCACACAGTTTAGCCATGTATATTAAATAATCCTCCAAGTTCTTAATAAAGAAGAGAAATTCTCCCACTGTTTCCAAACAAGCAATGCACGTTCAATATTAATTAGGCTAACCTGGTTATTAGGTTAAGAGCAACACATGGTTATAAATTTTTGGGAAAACACAATAATCATTGGTCCATATAATTTATTAAATTTTACTTTTAATTCTTGTAATTTTTTTACTATATATGAAATAAATGCCATCTAATTTTGTTAAAATTATGGGAACTGAAAATATTAAAAAATATAAGCATTAAGAACAAAACTCAACAAAATTATAAGGATGGATGATTATTTTTTTCTTAAAACTTTTCTTAAAGGAATCGTCAATGATAATTTTCACAAGTATTATATATATTATATATCTATATATATGGAGAATTTGAAGCCCAAAACCCAAAGCAATATCTCAAATTAAGCACATGCCAATAAATTGACTCGAGGAGAAAAAGATGTCTGATTTAGCTTTTATAGTATAATTATTTTGCAAACTAAACTGGAACATGAAAGCCTTAACAATTACTGTAAACATTGACGATTATTTTTAGCTTAATAATCATTGGTCCATATAATTTATTAAATTTTACTTTTAATTCTTGTAATTTTTTTACTATATATGAAATAAATGCCATCTAATTTTGTTAAAATTATGGGAACTGAAAATATTAAAAAATATAAGCATTAAGAACAAAACTCAACAAAATTATAAGGATGGATGATTATTTTTTTCTTAAAACTTTTCTTAAAGGAATCGTCAATGATAATTTTCACAAATATTATATATACTATATATTTATATATATGGAGAATTTGAAGCCCAAAACCCAAAGCAATATCTCAAATTAAGCACATGCCAATAAATTGACTCGAGGAGAACAAGTTGTCTGATTTAGCTTTTATAGTATAATTATTCTGCAAACTAAACTGGAACATGAAAGCCTTAACAATTACTGTAAACTTTTCTCTGGCCACAAACTTATACAACTGATATGGATAAAACAAATGTCTTGTTATTAATCCTTCAGGTGATGATGGAAGAAGCATAAAAGGATGCCTTGTGAAGCACTCCTCCAAGAAAAGGACTGCAACATCGATGGATCAAAAGTAAAACATAATTTGTTAGCCAACAAAAACTCAGAGAGCCGAAAAATAACGAACAAAACACGTTTAACTCCTCCGAGTAAAGGACTACAGCATCGATAGAATTTTTTATTTCTTGGGTCATTACAATGCTGGAAGTTTTGCGTGCATAGACATATAACGTTTAGTCTTTTAAGTTTTTATAGGATTTTATTTTAATCCTTTAAATTTATAAAGTGTCTTTTTAATCATTTAACTCTAACGTTGTTAATTTCATTTACAAAAAATTTCTAGGTTTAACTTTTAAATATTGATAAAATATTTTTAAATGTTTGACAGACTAAGTTTAATTTTTTTAAAAAAATAACAATGATTGATACACAAAAATAATCATTTAAAATTTTAGGGTTAAAAGATTGAAAATACACTTTATAAATACGCTTTTTAAACTTTTTCAAGGCTTTTCAATGTACTTCTCTTGACACACGGTCATAAATTTTTTTCCAAATCAATAAAAACAACCATATGCAAATATTTACATTTGCATTGATATTTTTTCATTAATCCCTTAATAAATAAATCGCTTCTGTAGTTACCCTACCTGGGATGAATAAGCCAAATTGATTTTTAAAAATACTAGTCTCTAATCTCAACCTATGTTCAATCATTCTTTCCCACAATTTTATTGTATGACTCATAAGTTTAATCCCTCTATAGTTAGCATAATTCTAAATATTTCCTTTATTTTTGAAAATAAAAACTAAGGTACTTCTCCTCCAATCATCTGATATTTTCTTGGACCATAAGATCTCACTAAATAACTTAGCCACCCCACTGCTTTTTCACTTAAATATTTTCATACTTAAATAGGAATACAATTAGATCTATTGACTCTACCATTTATCATTTTCTCACAAGCTTTTTTTACTTCATGCTTGTGTATCCTTCGATAGAATGCCAAATTTCATTCTCTTTCACGAGTTACTAATCGATGTGTCACTCAATCTCAAAATAAAACTAAATTATCCCTGATATAATACAGGGCCAACCTAGGTTATCTCCTAAGAAATTGTTTCAATTCAATTAAAGAGATTATCTAATGGAATAAATCACCCAATAAAGGAAAATTTGGTTACCTAATTACCTATTTAGTTACCTAGTTAACAAGTAATGAAAATTGCTAGCTAAAGTGGATGGTGTGGACTTTTGTTTTTTAAGAAAGTGAAACCCTAAAGTTTAGTTGATTCTAAAATCATTATTTTCATGTGATTAGGCCAAATTAAACTTTTCTTTCCTCTTGACCAAAGCTGTCTTGACTTAAGAAAATTATCTTAAGCTAATTAACCTAATTAGCTAAATTTTCTAGGTTTTAGATTAAAATTCCTAGTTCAATTAACCAATTGGTGCAAAGATTAGCCAGGTAAATCACTCAAATTCTCCCCTCAAATGCCATGACTAAATAATGAAGTGAGCAACTACAAAATTATATCAAGCTACTCAACAACACAAGTATTAACTTCACAAGATTATGCAACATCAATACATTTATTTCACTAAATGAAAAATACAAAATTATGTGCTAAACATGAAGTGGCTGAATCAATCATGGCAGCCCAATGAAGAATTAAACAACATAATCCTCTTCTCTTTACATTAAGATCAAATTCACATTAAAATTTACAAGCCAAGATGATTAAACTCAAGATTAAGGCATATAATTATCTATTAAAAAGAGAAGAGAAAAGGAAAAAAAAAGAAACTTAAACAAATAAAGCTCTAGATTCATCCTCTATCTTCATCTCTCTAGAATTCTACCAAGAAACTTAGCCAACTTTCTTCATCTTCAAGAACCCTAGGAGAAGCAACCCTTGGCCAAAATCCATGGAGTCTTGGATGAGGAAAGTGACCTTGGATCCTATTGAGAATGGAAGGGATAGGATGAGCAAGATGAATGAGGAAGAATGTTATAGGTTTTGTGAAGGTTTGATGGTTAAAAATGGAAGTTAGGGTGTTTGAAAATGAAGAATGATGGAGAGAAAATGAAGAACAAGATGAATTAGAAAGAGAATAAAAGAGATGAATGAAATGTGTGTGTGAATTTGAAATGTGAGTGGGAATGGCATGAAAAGAGTGTTTCCCATCAGTTGAACACTAATTAAAATAAAATAAAATAAAATAAAAAGGAATTTTAGGGCTTTGTCACACTTGCTAGTTGGCACTCTCTTATTAGTTTGTAAATGATTCCAATCTCAAATTAATTCCATGTATCATCCACATTTTAAGCTGATCTAAACCACCCTATGAAGAGCAAAACATGTCCCTTAGCATTAGCCTTTGATCCCTTGGACTTTTGACTGCATTTTCCTAATTGATGCACAATTCATATGTCAACTATGTAACAAAAATCGCACAATTCAATTAAATAACATGTGACATTATAAAATCTAATTAAAGTACAAAATTAAATTCATATTTAGAAGAGAGAATTTATTAAAATAGCCAAGTTCTTGACTGCGCAAAATTATATAAAAATTTTTACACAAATGCAAATTAAAAATCAGGTTAAAGTACACTTGAGAGAGTGTTGACTTTTTATTTGATTACTTTTAAACTGAAATAAATTTTAAAAATGTAATTTGACCACTCTTCTTCTGCCCTTAAAATACATGTTGTCAATTTTTTTGTACATTTTTTTAAAATTTTATTTTTTGATTAAAATATTCCTAGTGTATAAAACCTAAATATTAAGGCAAATTTTCAAATCTAATGCAATGTGTATACACTTTAAGTTAATAAATCCCTACAAATAGTCCTAATTGACATATAAAAGTGTGTAATAGATGTGTTCTATCAGTTACTAAATCCTCCAAGTTACTAGACGAATCCTTTTATTATTGAAAAAGTTTGAAAAAATAGGTCTTCCATCTATCTTTAATATCACCATTTGTGATAAAGACTCTTCCTTCTTCATCCTTGTTCACCTTTCCTATTTCAGGTCTCTTGATTTTCTTTCTCTATTTTTAGCAATCTTATAAATTTTTAATACATATACTTGACAGTGCTTTCCCATAGATCTACGCATTAATTGTCAATGAAAGATTAATTGGTGACCGTTGTTAAGCATAAGATCCAAACTCTTTGGCAAACTTTTCCATACATTCTGGTGGCAAGCAAACAGGAACTATTCTTCCTTCCTCTCCCTTACTGTTACTATATCCAACATAAAATGTGGATCCTTGAAGCGTCCCAAGTCCACTGAAAGCTGGACCAGCATACACTGCCTTGCCCCAACCAAAATCAACATCTTTGAATCCAAGACATGAAAAATCCGCAACTATAAACGATCTCACTGTTGCAAAACTAGGTCGTCCTCTAGTCACCAAAAAATCAGCCACAGAGTGAAAGTACTCGCCATTCACTACATCCTTTGATTCCCTAACGAGCTCTAACGCATACTCTAACAGACTCTCAGAGTTTTCCGACCGTCGAAACCGCTGTCGGAAAACGATAGCGTTCCCGTAGTAACCTTTTGGCAATGGAGGTTTGAATCTATCACGTCCTATACGTGCATTAGCGAGGAACATGAGTCGAACATCGTCTTGTGGATCTGCTTGCAAAGCTTTTGTACGACAACGCCAAAGACACACCGTGACGAGATCGAATGAGGTTGGTTGATGACTGAGGTGGGTGGGGAGTAATTTACGGATGGATGAGACCTCGGTGGCTCCGAAGAAGAAAGAGCGATGAGTTGTGCCTGTGATGGGGATAGGGTTGCCGACCACTTCATCGTACTCTTGATGAGTGCATGTCATGTTTGGTGAGTCTCTTGCGTTTACTTTAGAAGCTCTCTGTACCACACTGTTAGAATCGAAGATTTGGTTGCTCCATTAGCTATTTCGGCGAGGGTTTCATGAATCGATCGATACCTCCAGGTCCATTGCTCAAGCTATGATTCATCCGAAGACCAAAGATGAAACCACCACACTTGAGACGTGTTACCTATAATTTATGAAGATGGATCATATTAGTACAGCAAGCTTCAGATATATGTGTGTTATGGGAAGCTAAGCCTGAAAAAGGGGAGAGAATAAATGGGCAATGAGATGAGTAGTGGAATCTTTACCACATCTTTATTCAAAACCTTAAAACATGAGTTTGTGAATATACTCCCTTCCAGGCAAAAGCTTCACTTCATGAGAAGTAGGCTTCGCGAAGACAAGATTTGTAGGAGTTTTCAGAGCCATCGATAAGTATGTGTTTCTAAAAACCCAAAGTGGAGGATTTTGACAAGTATTTATGCCAAAGTGATAATTCTCATTCACTGAAAAATTGTATATATACAGCTGTACGTGTGATCATTGGCTGAAGACAGACTTTGATATAGGAAATATTCTAAGCCTAAGGGAAAATGATAAAACAGAATAACTACACAGTATCGCAACAATAATGATATATCGTGGGTAGCCTCATATCATATCGTGAGAGATATGTATCTCATAAATTTGACAAAAAAGAGAAAGATCGACGATAAGTAATATTGGGAGCTTGATGCAATAATGCTTAATTTGGAATGTTTGTTTACGGGCGCCCGCGCTCTCATGTAAAGTTTGCTTTTTGACATGTGTGTTTTGGGGGTTGTTTTGGGGGGGGGGGGCATATTATAACAAAGGTAATCGAGGCCAATTGGTTTTCCTATTATATCATACTTCGCAGACTCCATGTAGGAGATAATGATAAAATTAAAAGGGTTAGGAGGCATTTGCCCATCAACTATTTACTCAACAGTCTCTAATATCATAAATTTACATATTGTGCAATTTTTTACTTTAACATTAGAAAATGATATATTGAGCACTCTATCTTAAAAAGGAAAAACAATTAACTTCAACTATTATTTGATCAAAAAATTACACAAAAAAAGACTTAAAAATAATAAAATATAACCCATAAAATTGCAAATCAATACCCTATAAAAAAGTATAGATTAAGTCTCTAAAATAATGATTGGTCAAAATTATATTTTAGCATTTTATATGATTAAGAAATAACATTTGTATTAAATTTTTATTTTATTATTTATATGTAATTTAGAGGACTTAATTAATATTAAATTTCTTATTGGGTATTTATGGGTCCTTTTCCATAATTTTTATATCTTTTTTGTAATTTTTAACTAATAATCAATGTTAATTTTTTTAATGTTTAATGTACTATTTTTAAATGTTGAAATGTAAAATTATATCACATAAAAGTTCATAAAATCATATGATAGATAGTCATTGCTTTTCCCAGCTTTCATGATGTCAGCTTGGCTCCCGACGTCTACTACTAAACTCAACTCTTGTTAGTAACATGTATTTAATCTTTAAGTTTAGCTTATTCAATTAGGAACTAAGATTTAAAATATTTTAATTTGAAAAAAATTCCACTTTAGAAACTTTTGGGAACAATATTGTCAATAATATTTATAAGCAAGATATGCATTTGAAAAGATATAAGAAATAATAACATTGTTAACAAGACCAAAAGCCACACCCTAAGACCATATTGTCTGGGTTTTTAACTAGAAGAATATCAAATTCTTAATAATATTGAAACTAGAAGATGCAGAGAAAAGATATCTCTCCAATAATGGAGGAAAATACATATAGAGAGAAAGAGAGAGAGAGTTCAGACTTTTTGTAATCACCTAATTAATTTAGTTCCAAAAAAAAAAAAGCTGAAGTGTATGGGGGTGGGTCTTGACATCAGCTCAAAACTTATGTTTTTTTTTTTTAAAAAAATAAATTAAAGTTGAGCTCTTGCTCAAAAAGCGCTTTGAAAGGACTCCCTTTTTAAAAAAAAAAATTCATTTAGGTAATCAATTGGAGCGCTTTCAGTGACTAATGCATATGAAGCACTCGGAAAAGTTTCCTTTTTTCTTTAAAAAAAAATAGCATATCAATGCGCTGATTTCTATTCCAAAGCGCTTTTACATTGGTATGTTTCGTTGGAGTGTTTTTTTGCATAAGCGCTGCAAAATAGGCGCTTCGAAACACACTTTTTATTGTAGTATCTAATATTAAGTAATCATAAAAAGTAGTGATAAAAATAATTGGAACGCCGTTTAATTAGCATATCAAAGACAACAATTATAAGGTAATTAATAGTCTTAGACTAGCAAATATAACTTTAAATTCAATTTTGGCTTCACTAACTTGATTTATTTTACATTGTAGCCCTCACAGTCCTTGTTGATTCTTGTACATGCATGCTTCCACTGGGCGTATGTGTACACACAAAACAACAACATATATACTTCACAAACATTTTGTCCCTAAAACAACTATACCCTACACCATGCACCGCACCCAAAACAATTCAAAAATATACATATACATCACAAACTTTATTCCCCATTCCAAGATATGTTGAAATGCAATATTATTTGAACCTCCTAAATTGATTTATTTTAGATTTTAGACCTCACACTCGTTGACTCTTGGATCTGCCATTGAACACCATTAAGTAAAAGATCCAACTCTTTGGCAAATCTCTCCATGCATTCAAGTGGCAAGCAAACAGTCACCATCCTTCCTTCCTCTCCTTTGCTATTGGTATGTCCAACATAAAACATTTGTCCTAGAAATGTATCAAGTGTCTTTGCAGGACCAGCATACGCTGCCTTACCCCATCCAAAATCAACATTTCTGAATCCAAGGGCCATGAAATCTGATACCATACATGATAGCATGGTTCCAGAACATGTTGGTTCTCTAGTAGCTATCAGATCAGCGACAGAGTGAAAATACTCATCGTTCACTTCTGCTTTTGCTTTCCTCACTAATTCCAAGGCATACCCTAAAGGACTCTCACAAAGCTTACCAACAGTTGAAATTGCTGTTGGAAACACAGTAGCATTGCCATAATAACCTTTAGGTAATAATGGACGGTTTAATCCATTACGTCTGAAATGTCCATTGACGACAACCATGAGGCGAACTTCTTTGTGTGGGTCCAGTTGCAAAGCTTTTGTTCTACAACGCCAGAGACATGCCGTGATAACCTCAGATGATGAGGAGGATTGTCTTAGGTGGTCAGGGAGTAATCTACGGAGGGAAGAAACCTCAGTTGATCTAAAGAAAAAGGAGCGATGAACTATGTTTATTGAAGAGTTCATGGTATCGATCACTTCATCGTACTCATGATGCATGCATGTAACATTTGGTGGGTCTCTTGCATTTAGAAGTTCCCTGTGCCACACAGGCAGAACCAGAGGCTCATTTGCACCGTTTGCTATGTCGCAGAGGGCATTCATGAATTGGAGAATACCATATCCATCGCATACACTATGATTAATGCGAAGCCCAAAGATGAAACCCCCGCACTTAAGTCGTGTCACCTACAGTTTGTGAATGTAGAGACAATCTAGTGTTCATTATCATAAATAATTTGTAAAGTTTAAAGAAAAGAAAAACAAAAGAGTGTTAATAAAAAGAGGTAGCAAGGCTTGCATGTGTGTGTGTATTTTTCACAAGATAATGAGAAAAAAGAGTGTATTATTTTCTAAATGCTAGATGGAGTGGTGTTGGAGGAAGATTATGCACATGAGGAGTAAGTCTATGCAATGATTTCAAAATAGTGTTTGCTCCGTCCCTATATATAAGATATATTTAAGCAAATTTTACATACTAATAAAAATATATTATTTAGTTTAAGGCACATAAAATCACAACAATTTTTCAGTTTTACCCTAATAATGTCAATTAATATCATGATGGTGACTGGTGAGTAACAAATTACCTAATTACATTCTCTCTTCTTTTCAAGACAAAGGCAAAATTATCTAATTACTTAAAAATATCATGATTCCTTTATATTTAAAGACAATAAATTTCTAAAAAACATTTTATATGTAAACACAAGAAGAGTAGATGGAGTGGTAGATCTAATGACAATGATAGCTACTGGTCATAGGTGGTTGCAAGGCCAGGGATAAATTCGTCCAAGCTCCTTTTTTTGGGGAGAGCAGAATGCGCCAAAACATTTATTTATTATATGGTTGATTATAAAGAAGTGGTTGCTTACAAGATATTGGTTGATTGCCTTTAATTACCAAAACGATTCTCCAATATGTGTGCTTTATAATTCCGAAAATGAATCGATAAATCATTTTTTTTATTGTATGACTGATCTAGAAAATTATCATCTGATGCTATAGATCAGATGGATGCAAAATCTTTAAGCAAAAGGCTCAAAATTTGGAAGATAGGATTGTTATAGAGCTAGTAATTCGAGCCAATTTGAATAAACTTATGGTGAAATGGTATTTGATATAATTTTCCTGATAAAAAAAGTGAAAAATAGCTCTGGATTTGTATATTTAGATTGCTTTCATTTAATATGATTTATATATAGTTATAGGTAAAGAGAGATAGACACATTTACAAGCTTATTTTTATTTTACTTTTTAGGTGAATAGCTTCTTTTTATTTTTTAAATTAACAATTGAAACTAGCTAGAAAAAAATACCAAAAATAATTTTTAAAATTTTTCAGTATTTGGGCTTGTCCAAATAACCTGAAAAAGTATGAGGGGGTTAGGATTGGACTTGATCATATAGACTTTTTTTTTTATATAAATTTAGATAGTTGAAGTTCAATTCGAATAAGCCTGACTTATTTGAATTACCACCAAACTATCAGCTCTAATTTATTGCAAAAAAGTTCTTTTTAAAGAAAAATAAATGCTTTGTATGTCGTTGGGGCTAATGCAGGCTATCATACTTGGAGAGAGAGGAATTACAGGTTTTCCAAAATGTCCAACAACGACTATTTGTTGAGAAGATGTAAGATTGTATATGATCCCTATCTTTGCTTTGTATATATTGTATATGTTATAAAAGTTTTAATCGGAAAGAAAATTAGAATCCCTAGAAGGTGGCTAAACTTTGTTGTGTTATATGTTAGGAGCACAAGTTTAAAAAAAGAGCTCATATCAAAATATTAACATATTGAATAGGAAAGTCATTTAAATTTATAAACCTCACTTCACTTATGAGGTTCCTCAATGAATCAACATCTATGGCAACTTTATTTTACAACACTTCACTTAACCTCTTGGTGATTAGGACCCTAGCTATTTTTATGACATTGGTCTCAAGCATATAAGGTGGAAGAGAAAGAGAAATCTCATCCTAAAAGACTAGCATATAAGATGAGAGAATTTTTTAAATTTATAAACCCTACTTCAATTATGATGTTTGTTGGTGCAGGACTCGTAACACCCTTTATGCGTTAATATGCAGTTTTGGTGTCGTGGAGCGGAATTGACATTTTGATTAAAAGAAAAAAGAAAAGAAAAATAGAGTCTAAAAAACCTGTACAAGCAAGATGGGACAGTGAAGGATTTTGTCACAGCCAGGAGGAGAGTAAAGTAGATCTTCTAAACATGGAAAAGGAGGTTGAAGATCATCACCAAACTGTTGAAGCATGACATCAGCATCAGCTTCAATGAACATCACTCCTTTTCCATTACATTCCACCATGAGTTTACGGCCTTCACCTTCCCTGAGCCTTCCTGCTAGTGGATAGTAAAATACAAGAGCTTCAGCCAATGCATCTCTTATCACTTTCACTGGGTCTTTTCCAGCCATGGAAGGATTCGGACGATAGAAAAGTATGATTGAAAAGTGGATACGTAAGAATTGTTGGTCATCTATGTTGGATAGAATCTTGACTTCATGAGGTGTAAGCTTTGCTGGGGATATAAGCTCTGGCTTTTGTCTCCTCACATTCAAGACGAGATCCAAATGAGATTGTTTTGCCATTGAATATGTACTAAAATGCAAATACAAAAACTGGGAGGGGTATTTGAGATTAAGTTGCTTATGTTTCATTTGGATATGGAGTTCACATTTATAGATGTAATCTGCTTTCAGAATTTGTAATTACGGGTGATATAATTGAAGTGACGAGAGATGTAAAATGACAATGACAATTAAGTTTAAGTACTTCATTTGAGATAGTAATTGTTTTAAATGATTTTTAGCTAAAGTATTTAGGGAGAATGATATTAAAGTCCCAAACTAATAATTAATGACAGTTAATTAGGTCTTGAAAATTTTTTCGGAAAAATCAATTATAAATTAATTTAGATAAGACATTTAAATTTTAAATATAACTCTTAATTTATAGTTGAGATTCTTATCTACAATTATGTGAATCAATATTAATTACTTATTTTTTAGAGAATTTTGCTAGGGACTTTATTGTCACTCTGTCAAGTATTCAATATGGCCAAAGCTACTACTCATTACTCAGCCTGACGAAATTATAAATTTGAATATTCTTGTAATTATATTTGGAAGATTAAAATATAATTTTATAATGAATTGGTAGTAATTCTGCAAAAAAAACAGTAATTGGATAAATTATTTACGTTAGTTAACTTTTATTATTTTAATAAAAATTAATTTCTAATATAAAGTTTTAAAATAGAAAATTTATGACAGTGAAGTTCTCGTTAAAATTTTTTAAAAAATAAGTTGTAAATATTAATTCAAACAATTATAAATAAAAATCTCAATTGTAAATTGATAATTATATTTAAAATTTGAGTATCTTATTTGAAATTAAAACTCTTAAATTTTCAATTGTCTGAATCTAATATTTATCATTAATTTTACAGAAAATTTTGTCTAAAACTTAACTACCATAAATTCATTATTTTTGGCCCTTTAATCAACACTTTTTTATTAAATAATTCCAGAATCAAAACAGATAAAAGCAAGAACGGATCCAAGGGAGACATGCAGGGTGTTTGCCCTTATAATTTTCGGGATTAGCTTTCCTCATCTGCAAATTTAATTTGATGATTTAAATTTAATAATTTTTAAAAGTACATATTTAATATGAATGGCTTATATTCGCAGTGAAGACTAACCACCCCATAATTGTTCACCTCCCTTTAAAAATTATTTAATTTTCCTTTATAAAAATTACTAAAATTGACTCTGATCAGTGACCCCTCAAATTGACTCAAACAAAAAAAATTTTACAAATGAATTTTAGTTTTATACTAAAAAAAAAACCCCCGAACAGTGTCTTAGAAAGGAAGTAGTTGTCACAGTTCTTCATCCTCTATGACATTCTTGCGCCAAATCACTTTCACGATATTAATTATACCATCCAAGCTAATTGTAATCTTCAAGGATCCATGGTGATCGAAGAATGGCACATTGCTTTCCAAAGTGATCTGTCCATAACTTGAATCTATTGATTGGGATGGGTACCAAAACTAATGATATTGATAATATATTAGCAATCAAGATTGCCTAAGACTTCCCACCCTCCTCCATAAATTTCTTGGGCCAAATCTGTTTTATTTCAACCGCCAAGCCTCGCCATCTTCAATGTGACCATAAACTCTCGTGGCATACCATCATTTTCGCAAGCAAATGATACCTAACTTTTAAGCTAGATACCTAACTTTTTAGGGAATTCTTCTCTTTTATGCTAGCTCCTATGCCGTGCTTATGCCATGGTCCTTTATTAATTATCGGTGATGAAATAGACAGAGGCTTTTTGGACTTGTTTGGTTTTGTTTTCATTTTTTATTTTTAAAAACTATGTTGTAAATTAATTTTTGAAAATTATTCTTTAAAACAAAGAAAAATGAAAATATATTTAGTTATGTTAATTTAAAAATAATTTTAGAGTTAAAAAAATTAATTGTAGTGGTCGATGAGAATGGTTCTGATGATGGCCGATGTTAATAGTTGGTCATAGTTATAATATTTTACAATTATTAAATGTAAGATGCTTTGAAATAATAAAAGAAAACGAAAGCAACTCTAAGTTGTTAACATTTTTTTTAAAAAATGAGAATAATTTTGAAAACATTTAAATTTGAAACACTTAAATAAATGAATATTTTTATTTTATTTTTTGTGTTGAAAACAAAAAATTTTCAAAAATAGAAAATAAGGCAGGCACAAACAAGCCCTGAATCTTTTGTTTTTTGTTTTTTCCTTTTGGTTCTTCTTGTTTGCGAATCTGCCAATTCGAATTTGAGATCTAAAAGATTAGTGTGTTGAACACTAATGAATCACCAATCTACAATTTCTTCTGACTTAGCTGGCGAAAAGATCTCTCACACGCATGTAACTTGCTCACACGTGTGTACTCTTATTTATACACGCCCTTTCTCACTATTTATAAGAGAAAATTACTTAACTTGTACATAAAAAAGCAATTAAAATTAGTTAATGTCTAAAAATTAATTTTTATTTTTTTCCACTTATACCTATAATTAATGCGCATCAATTGCATTTCTTCAACTTTATGCATGGGAAAGGTTCCTTGTTTATTTATCATGTGGATCAAGTCTTACACATAGTGTTCTCCGTTTAAGGCAACACTGAGGCCTAGTCATAATAGGCACAATACTAAATCAGTCGCACAATTGACTAAGCCCAATGGATAACCCACTGATTGTACTCGTATCTTTTGTATATCATCATCGTCAACACCATTTGTATCTCTGTATACGGGGCCTTATTGTATCATCTAGGGTTATGTACATTTACTTAAAAGTTATTTTTATCTTTAAACTATATACAAAAGATTACAAATATTCTTAAACTCAATTATAGATCAATTTTATTTCTCAACTTTAAAAATTATCTTTATCATTACTCTAATGTTAAAAATACTTAACGTTGTCCGTTAGCTATCAATGGATTCTGCTATTTTTTAAATATTTTTTATTAAGTTAATGGTCAATTTTGCCCTCAATTTCTATTCGAATGGTCATTTTTGCCCCTCAAATCAAATATTTTATAATAAAAAATATTAAAAAATAATGTAAGGCTCATTAATAGTCAACTAATGGTGAAAAAACGATAAGATGATAAGAAAAGAAATTTTTTAAAATTGAAAGATAAAATTAACTCATAATTAAATTTAAAATATTTTTAACCTTTCGTGTATGGCTCAAAGGGGAAAAAAAAAAAAACCCTCAATCCTTATATATTTAACGAACGATTGCATAGGTCAATGTGCGACGCATTTACCTCTCCTTCCATTTCCATTATTTTATTATCTTGGTACCATGGCTACCTCTGCTAACTCTAGCTCCATATATACCCGAAAACCCACCATCCAAAGCCAACAGCTCTCTCATCTTTGCTTCTCAAGTTACCAAAAACCCAGTAGTGTCAAATGCCTTGTCCCAAACATGTTCTGTCAAGTTGGATAGGACAAATTACTCTATTTGTTCTCCCCATTGTCATTAAAGGCCATAAGCTCGGGAGATTCATATATCAATGGCACTCATTCATGTACTCAACAATTTGTTACGGTCAAGAATGCTCTCAAACTCAATCCTGACTTTGAAGATTGTATCTTTACAGATCAGCTACTCCTTGGCTGGCCGCTTAACACCATGACACAAGACATCTCTCCTCCCAAATGACAAATGTTTCAAACTCTGTTGGTTTATGGCTTGTCGTAAAAGAGCATGCTGTGGAGCCCAAAACAAGTCACAGATTCTCATGCTTCATGCTGAACTGCAACGTACTAGGAAGGGTGCGATGTGTATGAAGGAATATCTCATGGAGGTGAAGACAATATATGAAAATCTTGTTATTATAGGAAGTCTAGTTCCCTCAACTGACCTGATGCTTCAAGTTCATTCAGCTTTAGATGGAGAATACAATCCCATTATTGGGCAACTTGCTTCTACCAAGGATGATATGACTTGGATTGATTTCCAAACAGCCTTGGTAACATTTGAAGCTTGGTTGGAGCAACTTAATCAGTTCACTCAACTGAATATCTCTACCTAGTTTGCCAACTTTGCTATTGATTTCTCTCGTTCAAACTGGCATGGAGGACATGCTAGTTGTGTTTCTCGTGGTTTTGGAAGAGAAGCTAGAGGAAATCGCCCTTTCTTGCCATTTGAACACTGCTTCCGTTGCCATGATCGAAATTTTGTTCCACCAAGTAGTGGTCGAAGAGGCTCAGATTTTGGGAACTCTTACTTCAGTAACTGCAACATTGTCTTCTATGCTAATCTTGAGACAATTCATGGTGATTCTTGGTATCTTGATAGCGGTGCAATAACTCATGTGACCAATGACTCTGCCAAGTTAGATGATGCAGTGAATACTAATGGTAATGTTCATTAGACTTCTTGTGGCCAAGGAAGCACGGATACACTGAAAATGGCGTCGTGTCCGTGTCAGACACGTATTCAACATGGATACACGTCCCAAACGTGGATGCAACCTCCCCCCCCCCCCTTTTTTTTTTATCGATACATTTGGATACAAGCGGGTACGGCTTGACGCCGGTGGATGTGGGTTGGACGAGGAACACAACGCGGTTTTGGTGTGTAAAGCTAATGCCCTACTTCGTCGACTTTGTCTCATCCACAAATCCCTCACTCTTTCTCCAGCACTGAGTTGTGTCGCTCTCACCGCCCTGTCTCTGACTGTCTAACCCAGTGACCCTGAATCTGCCATTGTCCTTCCCTTCGGCTCTGGCGTATGGCTCGGTCACCATTGCTCGTCCAGTCGTCCTTCTCTGTGGCTTCATCAACTCACGTTGCTCAGCCAGTTAACTCGCATCATTCAGTCGCTTTGTCTCTCCTCCTATTTCAGTCTGTCTCTCCTCCTCCGTCAAGCGAGGGAGTGTTCTCCTCCACCCTCCCTTTCTTTCTTTCACGCCTCAGCCAACTGAGACTTGTAAACTTGCTGTACATTGTTAGTGTTACTTGCTGTGCTTTTTGAAACTGAGTGGATTGTCAAGACTCCAGACTGGAATTTAGATAATTTAGATAAATTATGAAATTAACAATATGTATGTTTCTAAATATTTATTATTTTATTATTTATACAATGTACCCATATCTTAAAATTTTTGAAAATTGCCGTATCCACGTATCATATCAAATTCTCATGCCCGTATCGGTGCTTCATAGCTTGTGGCTAATGGACAGAATCTTGGAGTTGATTAAATTGGTTATTCTACTATACAGAATACTCTTGATCAATTAATTAGGCTTAAGGATTTTCTGTTTGCTCCAAAGGCTAAAAAGAAATTTGTTGATGGAGCATTCCTGAACTTAATGATGGTAATGACACTGTGGTTTTGCTTACTAAACATGATGCCTTTATGAAGAACCAGTAAACATGACAGACAATGTTGGAAGGAGTGAGAAGTAATGGTGGTCTCTATCCAGTAGATGCTAAGAGAAAGAGGAAGAGTTCAGGAGAGTTAGAGCTAGTTCTGTCTATAAAGGTTAAAAATAATACTAGTATTTTAGTAACACTAGGAAATTGTGGCATCATTGTAGGTTGGGTCATTCTAATGACCGAATTTTGAGTAAGATTGGAAAGGAATGTAATCTGAATTTTACTTCTAAAGAAGAACCTTTATTTTGTGACTCTTGTAAGTATGGAAAGTCTAACTCATTACCTTTGTCTTTATCATTTATTATTTCTTTTATGAATCTTTAATTTCTTGGGTAATTACAATGCTGGAGCGTTTTTGAGTGCAGAGTTATACATTTATATTTCCCTACATTCATATTTCCACCTATGAATCAAAATCATATTCATCTATTGTCGCTTGATTTATTCGACGACTCAAATGTTCTCAAATTCAGAAAACAAGAATGAGTTTTAGAGGATTTTATTCCTTCATTTGTAATATCTTTGTGTGTGTGTGTGTGTGTGTGTGTGAGTATATTTAATTTGATAGAAAGAGCGACGACAAATAGTGCCATTCAAACATGAGAAGGCTTTATTAATCACCAAGCATATATAGATGACCCACTAGACCATACACAAGCAATAACCAGCAACCATAAACACACATATAAAGACAACAACAAAATACATATAACCGTCAATGAAAGATTAATTAGGCACCGTTATTGTTAAGCATGAGATCCAACTCTTTGGCAAATTTTTCCATACATTCTGGTGGCAAGCAAATAGGTACGATTCTTCCTTCCTCACCCTTAGAGTTACTATATCCAACATAAAATGTGAATCCTTGAAACGTCCCAAGTCCACTCAAAGCAGGACCAGCATACACTGCCTTGCCCCAACCAAAATCAACATCTTTGAATCCAAGTCGTGAAAAATCTGCAACTATAAACGATCTCACTGTTGCAAAACTAGGTCGTCCTCTAGTCACCAAAAGATCAGCCACAGAGTGAAAGTACTCGCCATTCACTACATCCTTTGATTCCCTAACTAGCTCTAACGCATACTCTAACGGACTCTCAGAGAGTTTTCCGACCGTCGAAACCGCTGTCGGAAACACGATAGCGTTCCCGTAGTAACCTTTTGGTAATGGAGGGTTGAATCTATCACGTCCCATGCGTGCATTAGCGAGGAACATGAGTCGAACATCGTCTTGTGGATCTAGCTGTAGAGCTTTTGTACGAAAACGCCAGAGACATGCCGTGACGAGATCAAATGAGGTTGGTTGATAAGTGAGGTGGTTGGGGAGTAATTTACGGAGGGATGAGACATCGGTGGGTCCGAAGAAGAAAGAACGGTGAATTGTGTTAGTGATGGGGATGGGATCGCCGACCACTTCATCGTACTCATGATGAGTGCATGTAATGTTTGGTGAGTCTCTTGCGTTTAGAACCTCTCTGTGCCACACCGGTAGAATCGAAGGTTCAGTTGCTCCGTTAGCTATTTCGGCGAGGGCTTTCATGAATTGCGCAATGCCAGGTCCATCGCTCATGCTATGATTCATTCGAAGGCCAAAGATGAAACCACCACACTTGAGACGTGTTACCTATAATTTATGAAGATGGATCATATTAGTATAGCAAAGCTTCATATATGTGTGTTAAGAATGTGAAGCTAAGCCTGAGAAGTGAAAAAAGTAAATGGGCGATGAGTAGTGAAATCTTTACCACGTTTCTATTCAAAACCTTCAAACAAAAGTTTATGAATAAACTCTCTTCGAGGCAAAGTTTTAAAACGCAATCCTTTGTTTTCTTTTTTAAATAATACTCCCATTTAATTACACTAAGTTATAATTCCTAAACATACTTTTGTAATTATTAATTTGTGTAAAGGAAAAAAATTGAAAAGTACTAGTCAAACATTTCTTACAACTTTAAAGATATTAGTTACCAGTTCTTAATAATCATGAAGTTTGTTAACTTCACTGTATTACTTAATAAACCCAATTTTATCTTATATGATGTCTCAACTCCACTCACTCATGCACATACTGGCAATATATATATATATATATATATATGCGGGCGTGCATTTTAGAAAATGAACTAGAAAGAAAAATGTATGAGACCTGAATAAGCAAGATGGGACAGTGAAGGTTTCCATCTGAACCAGGAGGAGAGTTAAGAAGGTTTTCAAAGCATGGAAATGGAGGTTGAAGATCATCACCAAACTGTTGAAGAGTGACGTCAGCGTCAGCCTCAATGAACATGACGCCTTCTTCATTACACTCCACCATAAGTTTACGACCTTCACCTTCCCTCAGTCTTCCTGCAAAAGGATAGTAAAACACAAGTGTTTGAGCCAATGCATCTCTGATCACTTTGACTGGGTCCTTCCCTGTCATTAATGAAGGCTCAGAACGATAGAAGTGCATGAATGGAGTTTGGGCACGTAAACCAGCTTGGTCATCTATGTCAGACAAAAGTTTCACCTCATGTGGAGTAGGCTTTGCCGGAGCTATAAGCTCCGGTTGCCGCCTCCTCACCGTGAAGACAATATTAGGGGGAGTTTGAAACGCCATTAATATATGTGTTTCTCAAAACTAAAGTGGAGAGTTTGACAAAAGAGAAAAACGATAAGTAGCATTATATTGGGAGCTTGATGCTTGATTTGGAATGTTTGTTTGTAAGGGGAAAAAAATACACACACACACACACTAGTTTGTTTTTGGGAGAATGACACATAAGTTTCAAAAAGATCAATTAATTTAAATTAGACTCAAAGTGTCAAACTTTAAAAATTTATAAATTTATTTTATAATTTTATAATTTTATTGTGATAAATTTATAACTTATTTTTTAAATTTTAACATAGTTAAAAAATAAATAAATTTATTTTTTTAAAATTTAAAATATAAGTTATAAATTAATTATAATAAAATTATAAAATTAAAAGTTGAATTTGCAAATATCTTAAACCTAAATTTTGGGACTTACTTTAAAGTAATTAGTCTCCTTGGGCCCTCTTCGTCATTTTCCCTCCGTATTTTGACTTGTGTGATTAAAGGGGACGAAAAAATCATATTATAAGAAAGGTAATCGAGGCCAATTGGTTTTTCTCTATTATCATCACACCACGCGAACTGTGGAAATTGAGTGATTCCTTGCTCTTGGACATGCATGACAAGACTGGTGAAGACCAAATTACACCTTGACCCAATAAAAAAGAAAAAGAAAAAATTGCACTAATTACGATGCATTAGTCATTGACGTCAACTCGTACATGCATGTTGTGCAAAACCAAGGTCATAATTCAATCCAAAAAGTACTTAACGTGCCATTAGCCTTAAAACCTTAGGTGTAAGGTCGTTTAGGGACATGCCTAGCTATACATAAGATGGAGGGGCCAAGTACCCTTACAAAAATTTCAGTTTGCTCAAGTTTACATGTATAACATAATGTATATAAATAATTCTTAAATTTATTAGCAATATTATTTCAATGTCCTGTAAAATATATGTATATGTATGTTGCTCACGCATTCTTAAATTTCTGGGTTCATTACTAAGGTCACAGGTTTAATTCTGTTTGTAACCTTACGTCATTAGCGTCTGTCCCTCTAATTTTATAAAAAATACTTAAGATGACAGTTTTTTCCCCTTGTAATTTGAAGTTTCTGGGACGAGTTAAGTTGTAATGGTTTAGTAAGGTTGAAGGAGAGACATTACGGCTTAAAAATATACTTATAGTCATGCAAAAACAAGAATTTAAATTTATTGATGATTATTAATGAGAGAATTTTATTGATGATGAGTATTGAACAATTTTAAACAAGGTTTCGAAAGCTGAGGTCTGTATAGGTCATATAGTTCCACGGATAGACTAATGAATACTCCCTCCTTGAAAAATGCCTTGAGAGTTTTTTTGGGGGGATTTTTTTTTGCCAACCATTTTTTGAGGGGTTAGATATTAAAAAATATAAGACATTTTAATTCTTTTAAGTTATAATCATTATAGTTTTTTTAAAAGTGTCCTTATTGAATATATTACTTTATATTTTTTTAGGGTGAAATACTTTATTAAATAGAGATAAATATGAAAAGATAAAGTTAGTTTAAAGATAAATAATTACTTTATTAAAAAGTTAAATTTAATTAAAAATATTTTATATTTTTTAACAGAGTAAGTCTCAAATTAATTGGGTTCATAATATTTCGAAAATGAAATATTTGAAAAATATCGATGAAATATCTTAAAAACTAGATACACTGAATCGGTTGGCCGCGGTTAATTAGTTGTCTTTGTTAAAAACAAGGGGCAGCTAAAACAAGGGACTGGTTTTCTAACTTTAATAATGGAGATTGGAGAATAATCAACGCCAGGCAAAAAAGATAAAACCATTGAATGTGGAAAGAAAAAATTACGAACCTTCATAATGCAGAAGGAGAAGTGAGACTCGCATCTCAAAATAGTAATTTAATAATATTACATGTTAAAAAATATTAAAAATGAATTGTAAATATCAGTTTGAATTTGAACAGTTGTAAATATAAAATTTTAATTGCAAACCAAGCATTCAAAAGAGTATAATTAATGTGTAGCACTTTGGTCTATCAGAAGATATTAGTCTCTCACAATGTGATAAATTAAAATTTGAATCCTCTATCCATATTTAATACCCGAGTGTATCTTTAATAAGATTGCCTCTAATAAAAGAATATTTATGAGTAATTCAAAAAAGTATAATTAATGTACCAATGGAATTAGTCTAACAAAAGGAGTTAGTTCCTCACAAAATAATGAATTAAGGTATCTCCTTTAAAAGAGGTCCTCATATATAGTATCCAACTATACTTTGAACAAGATTGCTTTCAATAAGAGGCTATCTGTGAGCAAAGTATTGAAAAACTAAATCAACTATTGAATCAATCAAGATAATGATTCAAGGTTTAATAGTCAAAATTGTCATTAAAATGTGATTCAACCAATCATAAACAAAGCTTTTTATTAAATCTCCTCACAAAATAATGAATTAAGGTTCAAATCTCCTCTAAAAGAGGTCCTCATATATAGTGTCCAATTATGCTTTGAATAAGATTGCTTTTAATAAGAGGCTATCTGTGAGCAAAGTATTAAAAAACTAAATCAATTATTGAATCAATCAAGGTAATGATTCAAGGTTTAATAGTCAAAATTGTCATTAAAATGTGATTCAACCGATCATAAACAAAGCTTTCTATTAAATCAGTTAAGATACTAATTTAACAATTTATCAATTTATTATGGTGGATTGGCCCGGATTTCTATACTATGCCTTGGAGCAGTTAAAAATATTATAATAATTGTTGATAAAAAAAGTATAATTAATATAAAAGACATAACATAAAATATCATTGCATTAATGGGTCGTGATATTCATACTTTTTGGATAATATGACTTTGTCAAATATATACACACTTTATATGTTGGATTATATGTGATTAAATTTATAAATATTTTATATTTATTTAATTAATTTATTCATATTTTTCCTTTCCACTAAATTATTGGATGAAAATGAATTTTTCCACAAAATCAATTCTTATCCTTTTTCTTTATATTTTTCAGAAAAAAACATACTCCGCCTATTTGATTGGCATTAACTGACTATTATGTAATCGTTGACCCAGAGCCAGCAGCCATAAACCAGTCAAAAACTACATATTTGAAAATTATTTTTATTGGAGTATTATATTTTAATATTTACGAGTCAAATATCACACATTGACAAGTAAATCATCAAGATTTATAGTTCAAACTTCTTACATGTACTGGTTAAACTTCTTACAATATCAATAGGTTAATATTTACATTCAACTTTACATATTGACAAGTTAAATTTCACTCTACAAGTCAATTACATCTTAATTTACAAGTTTAACTTTAATATTGCAAGAGATTGACTGGTAAATATAAATTTTTTACTTATAAATCTTGAATATTTACTTGTTAATTTGTGATATTTAATTTCTAAATGTTAAAGCATTAATATCTTAATGCAAATATTTTTTAAACTTTGACCAGTCAACTGCTTCTGGCCACTGGTTAATGACGTGCAGTGGAAATTCAAAATCATTTGTATCATTTTACATGATAAATTAATTACAATCAAGTCATATGAAACTTGAGTATATCCTTACAAATTCGTGTAATTTATTTTTTAAATAATATGGGACTTGTTTGTCATGTCATCATGAAAATAAAAAGGGTGTGGGTCCTACATTTGAAATGAGAATAAGATTGTATCGGAGATTTGGATAAGGGAGTGAAAATAGAAAGAAGAAAAAACAAAGAAAGAGACAGAACGGGGCATTGCCGAGGGAGTTGGAAAGGATAAGAGTAAAAAAGGATAAGGAAAAAAGAGAGAACAGAGACAGAAAACTATATCTAGAAAGGAAAAAAGGCACTTTAAATCAAATCAATAACCAACTTTATTTTACTGTATAAAGTCAAGTTATATAAATCGCGTACTTGGCTTCTCTTCCTTTATTTTTTAATTCATTTCTCAATTTTCGGATCAAAACTTGAATGGTTGGAATTTAACATATTATAAAACGTTAAACTATAATTCAAGATTCATGATTGTAATTAAAAAGTAAAAAAATTAAATTATTAAATATTAAATTCTAACTATTTAAAAATTGATCCTTGAGATATTAAGTGGAGAGGAAATAGAGAGAACCTAAAATCAAGAACTAAATCGTTGAATATATAGGATTTTAAATAAATCAAATCTAAAAAATAATATTGTGATACCATAAAAGGATTGAAAAACATGAAGTGCATAATATTATAAATAAGAGCACCTAAGATCACTCTCAAGTTTCTAATCTTCACCACTTCACCCCTTTTGGAACTCAATTTTGGGGGCTATTACACTTGGTTTGGATTGGAAGGTTAAAAAAAAACAAAAACCCAAAAAGAGGAGGGAAATTATAAGAGAAAACCATTTAAAATAATAAAAAATAACTATTTTTGGATTTTTTTCTAATTTTCTTTTCTCTATATTTGTTTCACTTTTTCTTCCCTCCAAACCAAGCCTTATAATTTTCTGAAAGCAAATATGAAGTGGATAATTAAGGATTTTGAGCCAGAGTGTAGTAAAATCCATTCTTTATATTGAAAACTCTTATATTTCATTTTTTATTATTTAAAATTTTAGTCATGGTTTAATTTTCATTTATATTTTTATATGTTACTAGACTCCAAATTAGGGGTAAAATAATGTAATTTATCTGATATTGACTCTATGGATATCTTGTAAGACTTTTTTTGTTTTAGATTTGATTTTCATGATTAATTATTTATATCTATATTTAGATGTGTCTCAAATTATATTTATGTGTCTCATGCTTCATGTGAATTTTGTGACTGACCATTGTAATATATAATTAATGGGTAAACCCCACGGAATGAGAGGTAAAAAGTATGAACACTTGAACTAAAGATATATTAAGGAATTCGTGATATTATATTATAACTTTAGGGTTTGATTAAGATTTTGAATAGCACCAAAGTAAATTCAATTTTAATTTGAGGATCACTATAATTGCAAAGAGTCAACTTAAGAAGTATAAAATACTTGAAATTTAGGGCTTGTTAAGGTTC